CAATCTTTGCAGTATATCCGGGAACTTAGATATTACATATGAATTTTAAAGCCGATGGTCCTTGGTGTTATTCTAAGCAAGTCTAAGTGGATACTGCCCGTGTTGTCGCAAAAAGCTCCCGGCCTTGTGCTGCGTTTGAGTTATTCGGTCTTTTGGCGTCATAGACTTGAATTATAACGTCATAGATCCTGCACTGTCTTAGTCGCCACTCTTAGGCCTTTATAGAAACTTCACTACATTGGTGCGCACTATGGGCGCCTAAAAGAATGGCGAGAAACCAGTGTTAGTACAGCCGAGGGTGCCAAACATTTCCCTCCATTTGGTTTCAAATTGAGTCAAATAGCGCGTTCCATAGTGAACCGGAATTACGTCACAGTACACAATCTCAGATATTAGAGTATAAGTCTATGGTTAGCGTTTGTGAGGTCACCCTGTGTTGCTGTTGGCTTGATGGCAGTTAAAGAGGCGATAAAAGTGGTAGTGTGGATTATCATCATCATCCGGTGCCTTAATGCCGACTGGCGTGGGCGATCATGGACCTCCACTTCACCCTGTCCCTGTGGATACCAAAGCTTAATAAAGCAATTTGTAGCAGTAACTTGTGATCTCCAGGCATCTAATACCTTTTTCATGGTCTTCTTGGCATGCTGATGTTACATCATTTTAAAGCGAGTTTTGATTTTACAAGACAACACAACGTATTCTATCCCTCTGTGTAAAGGCAGTTGTGAATTAATTACTTTTATCAGTTTTGCACAAGGAAAGACTTCAGTTGCATCTGGCACTCAGACTACATGCAAAAAATACAGACGGAACCGAGAGTTTGCCAAGACAGTAATGGACTGATTGTCCGTCTGGGTCGTGAGTACGTGGAACACTGATCAGACTGCAGACAGTTTTGTCAGAAGGTGCTCTCTGGTGTGAGAATCCCAGCCACAGTGGCTATTTGTGTGTTTTTTTCCTTTTGTCCCATAGTACATTTTTATTCAATGGTCATCTATTTTGCACCTGAGCGTTTATGTTATTTTTCTGCTTCTGTGTTTGTGAGTGTGTATGTTTGTGTGCTCGTTAGGTTAAATTCAAGGGAGAGCAAAAGAGACGATGAGAAAATGAGAAGATCAGAAATACCGCGTAAGTCGTGGATAACTTCATGATGTTCTGTCTTGTGGTTTTTTCTGGCTGTTTTAGTTGATATTGTTGTTGTTATAGCTTGTCCACTTTCGTCTGACCGCGGCTGAAACAAAATGAAAGGAAATAGCTCTGTTTAATCTTCTTAGATCTTTTTCGACGTGTCTAAAAGTTGGATGATCAACAGAATCTAAAAGCCCATTCTTAAAGTTCTTTGCGTGGGTGGTTGGCGGGTGCTCTGGTGTCTTTTGCTCCTTCTTTCCTATCAAACATCTATCGTCCCCTTCTTCTTTTTATGTTTGTCACTCTCTTGTAACCCATCTAATCTTCTGGCGCTCATATGACCATATGCAATTGCGAGCGCCGTAAAACCTCTACTAAAACTAAAAGCTAACTGCAAACTAAGATTTCGATACGTTTAAGGGATTTACAGCATACACCTAAAAAAAACACTGAAAAGTTGACATATTATTATTTTCCTCAACACCATACTTAAACGATCGCCTAAGAAACACGATTCAAGAGACGGGGTGAGTAATTTTCGAGACTGACGTGGAGCACGTGGAGACGACTAGACAGCCGGGGGGATGAACTCCTCAAGCTTACACTGAAATGTGGAGGGTGGGAGGTGTTGCTGTCTCAAAATGAGCAATTTGTAGGCGAGGTTACTGTAAGCCATTTACTTTACTGATCCTGTGTATGCATCCAAAGAGCGGTTTTTGATATAGATCTAGGACCCAAAGAGAAAAACTTGTTAATACTGGATCAAGATTTAAAAAAAAAATATTGTTTGGTCACTGGCCTGCAGAAGAGTCGTGGGCACAGGTTAATTCGTAAATGAGCAAGCACTTTTTAAACGCAGTCAGACGAAAGTGAACAAGCTAATAAGAAAGAGAACAGATTGCACTTTCACCTCCCCCCCCCCCCACCGCAACATAGCATGGGAAAAGAGTCAATGTTGAAATGGTATAGGTTTAACGCCCCTATCAACACTATTCGGTTATCTAAGAGGCGGGACCTCCGAGTTTAACGTCCATCTCCGAAAGGACCGAGCGAATTGGGAAATTCGTGTAAAGTGACTTTCCGAAGGACACAACGTCGCACCGACCTGAGTCTCGAACCCCGGAACCCGCAATCTCACGATTACGAGTCCGGTAGCCTAACCACTTGACCACTGACGCTTCTAGTCAGAGTTGACGCTCATATGATCTTATGCAGTTGCGAGCGCCGTAAAACCTTACTAAAACAAAAACAAACGCACAGAGTTAATAACCTGCAACATAATTATGCAAGCAAGCAGCAGATCCGCCGTATTCACTTTGGACCATTTATTGGGTCGCAAAGTATATTTGATTAATAAGCAAAAACTCGAATTCCCTGACAACATAGCCTAGCAGAACGTTGCGTTAATGGAAGCGGAATGGACAATAAGGAAAAAAACGGGTCACAGAGGTGGAAAATATATAGAGAGAACGTCCGCACTAAATTTTGTAGATCCTTTTTTCCAGAGTGTCTCTTCGTTTGCAAGTGTTACACGAAGGTCTGATATCTCAAAACCTGGGTGATCTATTATAGAATCTTCCAAAAGTGTTGCTAATTGTCCTTTCTTGAGATATGTCACTTTGACAAATTCACGCTCAAGGGTATTTAGGAAAATGTTATGTCCTCAGGGGGCTTGCGTGGCCTAGAGGTTAAGGTGTTGGCCTCTCACTCAAAAGGTCCCGGGTTCGAATCCGGGTAGCGACCGAAACATTTTCTTCTCTAAATTTGTCTCCTTTCACCTCATTTCCTGCTCTCTAGCAATGTTCTGTCGTCTGCTTTCGTCTCCACTTTCTGCCCTCACCCCGTCACCTCCTTTGCCCCTTCCTCTGGGCTCCTGATTCTTTCTGTAGCCTCTCTACTGCTACTCCTTCGCTTCTTCTTACTGCAGTCTTTCAGCCACACCCCTGATCTTCTGGTAGGAAAGATCTACACCTAGCCTTCTCGGACAAGGGCGAAAAATCTCGGAGGGCCCGTGTGCAAGTTGCGCACGTTAAAGATCCCTTGGTGGTCTAAAATCGATAAGAGTAGGCTTCGGCCGCCACCCGGGCAAAATTCAAAATTTCCTACCAACTGAAAATATTAGGTGTGTCCCGCGCGCTCATATGACCTATGCAGTTGCGAGCGCCGTAAAACACTCTACTATTTAAAAAAAATGTTATGTCCTTGACAAATTAATTCAGCATCTTATTTAAGTTTGCTGAAGTTACCTTAATCACTATTTGTGAGTTCAAAACTTCTGTTGTGGCCATCTGTAGAGTTGAAGCTGTCAGCAAACACTTTTACGGGGGAGGTTTCTGGCTCTGATTTCTTAAGGTCACGGGTCTTGGATGTAAAAGGCGTACAGGTAAGGTTCTTTTTAAAAAATAATGTACGAGAAGGTGTCTTCATGCCTCCATCGGCACAATTTAGATCATTCAGGAGGCGAGCTTTGACTTCGCTTGTTGAGGCCAACGCGGGCTGAAAGAGTTCCAACGTTCCAACAAAAAGACGGAGGTACTTGGATAAGAATTCTCGCCACACAGGAATCGAACTCAGGTCTTCTGCGTGAGACAACGACTGAAGCACCTAACCGCTACAAATCAGACGCCGATAGATATGATTTTAGTCATATTATTCAAGATGGAATATATTCTGAAGAGGTAGACAAACAGTAATGACAAAAGTGCTAAACCACTGTCAGTGAAACGTTTGATACTGATACTATACGTAGACTGTAGAATGGTGCTGGTTCAGACAGCTTCAATTTGCGTGCGTCTGTGGTGCAGCAGTTAGACGCCTTGCCGTCTCATGCAGAAGACACGAGTTCGATTTCTAATTTTTTTTAAGGTGGAGGGGGGGGGTATCGAGTATCTCGGCCTTTCTGTTGTGACGTCGTAACCCTCTCTGCCCGAGTGAGCGAAGTCGGCCCCCTAAATGATCTACATTTTGTCGTTGGGGGTGAAAACATTTATCAAAAGCATTATTCTAGGTTTTTTAACGTGCAGTTTTTTAATCCATTAACTCTGCATAAATGGAAGGTGTGCATTTGCCGGAAAACTGGGTCACTCAACAGGGTGACCTATTTTATTAAGTGGCAACTGTCAGGGCAGCCATTATAAAAGTCTAAGTAAGGACCATTGAGAGCAAAATTTACTTACATTGAAAATAAATATGTTAGAAGGACAGAGGACTATTCGTATACAACATGAACTCTTTGGCTTGGTAGTGGACACTTATTACATTAATTGTTTCTGATCAGCAGGGAGACCAAAGGCAATGTTGCAGTGCATTTCGAACCCTCGTATACAAATCAGAAACATGAATTCGTATATTTCATAGGATAATTGCTATTGTCTACCAATTTACATTCAGATAAAGAAAACAGGAATGAAAGTGTATGTATGAATAACAAATTTATGCTTCATTTTTAATTTAAAGTTCCCTAAGTCAGCGCATCTTCACGTGTTGTTGAATGACCAGGTTATGAGCCCTCATTGAGCTAACTCAACATACAATATTTGCAGTGCTGATACGTTTTGTTTTACTGCTGTCCTTACGTGTATAAAATTAATGTATGGTTGTGAAAGTTCTTCTTTATATGGTTGAACTGGTTTTTCTTGTTACTGTGAAATATGTTATCTTGTGTGAATCGCTCAATGACCATGTGATTAATGTAACGCCCTTAGAGCTTATAGTAGTATGGGATAGAGCGCTATATAACTGCTATCAATTATTTATTATTATCAAGTGTGCTGCCCTTTCTATCCTTCTCCTTATTCTGTGGCGGGGACAAGAGCAGAGCAGAGCTCACTCACACAGCGCGCGGGGCCCCATAACTACTCACGCGCAGGCGGCCACACGGGAGCACAGTCTCTGCCCACACGTTATTGAACCTTGTGTGTTGACGTTCGCCTCGAGTGATATAACAATAGTCAGGGAGGGTAGCAGCCCTCGGCCCCCATCAATATCGTTTGAGAGTGATATTTCGTGGACTAAACGGTTTTTTCTGCAAGCACATCATTTATGTGTAAATGTGTCTTTTCCCATCAGGGGTTTTAGCCGTGTGTTATGGAAATTATTTTGGAGGAAAAAAAAAGAAAGAAATTTCAATTTTTGTCTTCGCGAATTTAACAGTCTAAATTTCATACACTATCATTGCATACTGTGTATACGACTTTTGCACAACGTCTATTCGACTTGAACGAAATAACTGTGTGCGTATGCAATTTGCAATTCATTGTCTTTTTGTCATAGATAAAGAGTCTGTTTTGCTAAGTTCATTTTGTTTTGGATTTGCTGCCTTACTTCACGTGAGATTAGAGTTGACGCCCAGAAGATATTTGGCAAGTGGTTTTCTTTTTATTTCACTTCTCAGCGCAGCGTGCTGGACACAGTGGATTTATAGTCTTCGATCCAGTGTGGAAAAAGAGTGGATCGAAGTTTACATATTTAAGACGTGACTGTGCGGAGCTGCAGGGAACGAACACATTTTTGTGGTGGGATATTGTGATGAATAATATGAAAACAAATTACTTTTTATGATAAGGTCATTGGGTGCGCGCATAAACTTTTCACTGGATATCCACCCCCTCATGAAACACCTTTCTTTCTTCTCTGTTCAGGACTGAGGTTTATTGCTCATCAAAGAGAGTGCTGAGAACTTCAAGGTAAGTGCAAGTAATTAAATGTTTGATTTAAGGACGCGGCGGACACATGATTATTTCTGATTAACAGCAGGCCAGATGCAATGTTTCGAACATTATGCACACATGAGAAGCACGAATTTGCATATTTCATAGTAAGCGTGTTGTCAGCGTGCCTTTTTATGCTTCATAATAATAAAAAGCAACAACAACCCAAAAAAACCAAAAAAACAAAACAAAACAGAATGGGAAAATCTGTAGGAATAAAGAAAACATGCTTCTTTATTGAAGTGCACTCGAACATCAGTGCATCTTGAAGTAAGTCTTTTAAACGGACCAGAATGTACTACGTTCTCAATAACGTACAATCGTAACGTAAATGCAATATTTAGGAATATGGGCAAACGATCATACAAGAGAGTCAAATGGGATGCATTTTTTTATATAACGAACTCGATTTTCAGCGATTCAAACTTGGAACTTATTATTTTACTTTGAAGAAGGAAATTAAAACCATTCTCTGAACGAACGCACCAATTATATGCGGACTCCTGAATGTAGGGTTTGAGGGTATAGTCTTACGGCGGCGTACCGTGAGTCAATTACTGGGCACCAAAGTGATCCGTACAGAATAATACATCGTGTGTATTAGAAGTTTATGTGGCGCCGAAACTGTGAGGGGGTTACGTTACCAGTTGATAGGGCATCAGACGGGAGGGAAATTCGAATTCGGTAACGAGCGACAATTGCGAAATAGAAAGAGGGTCAGGGTTAGGGTTAAGGCTAATGTTAAGATTTGGGTTTGGGGTAGGGGTTGGGGTAGGGGTAGAGTTAATTAAGGGTAGGGGTAGGGTTAAGGTAGGGGTAGGGGTATGGGTAGGGGTAGAGGTATGGGTAGGGGTAAGTCTAGGTCCCTTCTTAAGGCTATTGTGTTTGCTGGGGTGGTCGTTCGTTACAGAAGTCCATCCCATCAGATTGTCAATCCGACGTCTGTCGTGTAACGGTTGGCGCTTTGCTATCGTAAGCAGAAGACCTGAGTTCGATTCTCGTCTTGGGAAAATTTTTGATCGAGTATCTCGGTTTTTCTGGTGAAGCACTGTTTCCCTCTCAGCCTGGTTTAGCCATCTTCCTAAATCATCTAAATTGTGTTGATGGGAACGTAAAACACCTACATTAAAAAAAACCCTGGAAGTATTAAACTCTCTTCTATTGCATGTTAGGCGACAATCTTATCCTGAATTGAATTCCTCATTCGTACTTGAATTTTGTTGGGTGAAAGTCCCAAGGCATCTTTTTTCTTCTTCTTTTTTTGCCCAAAATCAAGTCTTGATTAGCTTTATTTCAAGCTAAAATTTGTCACCTATCTTTTAAAACTCGGATGATTTAACAATGTGTGTCCTTCATTAAAATAAAAAGTAGGACACTTGTTCGGCTGACTTATTTTGGCCCCCTGGGCTCCTGTAAACAAGTATCAAGTTATCTTATTATTTAATACTGATCTAACGTAAGACTTGAGTGATCTGCAGGTTGGTTTGGTCCACTATGTGAAGCTGGATATTGGAATCCAAGAGAGTTTCAAATGTGTTCCATTTTTTAAAGTATATGTCCTTTCCGTCTGTCCAGAGGTCATTAGTAAGGTTTTTGACATTTATAGCTATTTTGCATTTTTTAAAAAGAAACAGCAGAAATGTGCGTTTTAGGAGACGGCTGAGAATTTCTTTAAAGGAAAAGAAATCAAATGAGGTAGTACTTGAAGAAACCCACGAGGACCGCTCGCTGAGTAAAATCAATCAGCAAAACACAATTTAATGCAGTTTCTGGGACAATAGAATAGACATAAAGGCCTAGAATATCTAGCTCTCACTGGCAAAACTGATGGCAACGAATCAGGGGTAGACCCAGAGCAAGGTAACTTGGAGAGCCTGAATGGGTGGGTGAAGGGGGAATGATCGGGATAAGGTAGCTTTTTAGAGAGCACCAGAGCAAATGCATGAATGGAAAACCATGATCGCCGATGTCTGGCGCAAATTTGGCACTTGATGATGATGAGGATGATGATGATAATGATGATGATGGTGATGCCGATGATGATGATGATGGTTCTATTAGCTCATAGAAAGATGGTCTAGTAAATAATATCTCATAGGTTTGAGAAAGGACAGTTTTGTGACGGGGCGCTCCATTAGCTTAGTTGGTATCATCATGCTGGACTACAGAGCCGATGGCCCTGGTTCGAATCCCAAAACTGGGCGTTTTTGAACTCGGATCATTTTGTGGAGTTTTCAAGGGGTCAACCCATTTGACTCGGTTCTATATGAGACGGATGTTGGACACGGAGGTCCTGCTATTAGCGTTGATAGAGGTGCTCAGCCCAGATACTTGCGTTAACAGTCATGTGACGATATCCCGCGAGATAGAATGAAATAGGAGAAATATTTTAGGGTGGTCTTAATAATAATAATAATGCTAATGATAATGTAATATGATGATGATGATGATAAGATAAGATAAGATAAGATAGTGCTTTATTATCCCAGAGGGAAATTTTTCTTGGCTGTACAGGACTATAAAAACACATGCAGGTATACATAACAATTTTAATTATATATATATATATTACTCTCATTAAAATTCAATATGAAAAGAGAAGTAAAGCTGACAAAATGTATATTTACATCAAATGCATCATTCAACCACATGTATGAATTTAAATACTAGACCTTTGGAGTTATATAATTATAGATACATACTCTAAGAGCAACACACATCTATGCTCATTCTGACAAAAGCCTTTTATGCTAGATGGTAAAAAACTTCTTTTATATCTTTCTTTCTTTGTTTTTGGAGGTACATATCTGCCGCTCCGTGATCTTACAATTTGTGTGGAAAAGGGGTGTGATGGGTCGTTTATAATGCTTTTTATCTGTTTTATACGTGCGGTGTTATACATTTCATCCATTCTATTAAAATCATATCCAGAGATCTTGCTGGCTTTCTTAATGGTTCTGTCAAATTTTTCTTTATCTTTCACCTTACAATTCCCACCCCAGCAGCAAATACAAAATAATAGCACACTTTCAATCATAGAATGGTATAAAAGGGACATAATCTTATTGTCAAAACGGAAACTTCTTAATTTCCTTAAAAGAAACATTCTTTGATTTACTTTTTTATGCGCAAGATCAGCGTGGGGATGCCAGTCAAGTTTGTTGTCGATTGTTACACCAAGATACTTGTAAGAGCTTACCACCTCCACCTCTTCATCTTTAATAAACAGTGGTTGCAATTGATCTTTTTTTACTCTTAAGTCTATTATTAATTCCTTTGTCTTTTTTACATTTAATAAAAGGAAGTGGTCATCACACCACCATGATGATGATGATGATGATGATGATGATGATGATGATGATAATAATAATAGTAATAATGATAATAATAATAGATAACTTTTGTAGAGCGCAAACACGCTCAACAGCAGCTCTATGCGCTTCACAATCTATATTATAACCACAGCAGACTTAATAGCATTCTGAAACAGCCTCCACTTCATGGGAAGCAGACAGTGCAAGATGTCATTTTTATAGGCGCTGAAACACTCATAACATACCGATAAGATCTTTCGCTATTTAGGGCCGGGTACCCATTCCCACCTGGGTGAAGTGAGGAAAATTCGTTTACCAAGGACACGTCGGGACTGAGGCTCGAACCCCCGAATCCGCAACCTCACGATTCCAAGAATCGTTTACCCGACCACTAGACTTACAGTTCGTACCCATTGTTGCCCCCCCCCCCCGGCACCTTTCCAACGAGAATCAATAGGTATGTCTGGCGCCAGTGGAGCCTACTGACCGAGGTCTTATTTTCTTCATTTGATAATAATGAGAAAAAAATCAGGAAAATTAATGAGACGAAGAATGCTCTGATAAGAACCGGGTAGGTACTCATTAGCAAAGAAGAAAGTAGCACCGTGTACTTAAAGGTTACCCTTGGGACTCATTCTCTACACTAATAACCAGAGATAAGAATCTATCAATTTACATGGCATAGATATAACATGGTGAGATCATAACATAGGTCCTCTGATTTATGCATGGTTGCTATGGAAACAGTAGTCATCTTGAAATAAAACATGAAATATAGATTTTTCTTAACGCTTTTTATGTGTCTAACAAATTTCTCCAACTTCGTGAGAGTGTACCTTTGCTTATATTCAGCTTTCATATTATTGTGTTCTGTGATTTATTTAAAGAAAAACTAACTGGGAAATTTATAGACACATGAAATAGTGTCTGTAATGTAAATTATTTATAAAACTAAATTAATTCAATTATAATTGAAATTCTACAATTTCCCTCAGTATGCAAAGTTTACTAAACTCGGTGTGCAGTCATGGTTTACAAAAAGTTTGTTTTTTGTTTTTGTAAAGGGTTTTACGGCGCTCGCAACTGCATAGGTCATATGAGCGCGCGGGACACACCTAATATTTTCAGTTGGTAGGAAATTTGGAATTTTGCCCGGGTGGCGGCCGAAGCCTACTCTTATCGATTTTAGACCACCAAGGGATCTTTAACGTGCGCAACTTGCACACGGGCCCTCCGAGATTTTTCGCCCTTGTCCGAGAAGGCTAGGTGTAGATCTTTCCTACCAGAAGATCAGGGGTGTGGCAGAAATACAGCAGTAAGGAGGAGCCAAGGAGTAGCAGTAGAAAGGCTGCAGAAAGAGCCAGGAGCCCAGAGGAGGGGGCAAAGGAGGTGAGGGGGTGGGGGAAGAAAGTGGAAATGAAAGTAGACAACAGAACATTGCTAGAGAGCAGGAAAGGAGGTGAAAGGAGACAATTTTAGAGAAGAAAATTTTTCGGTCGCTACCCGGATTCAAACCCGGGACCTTTGAATGAGAGGCCAACACCTTAACCTCTAGGCCACGAGAGCCCCCCCCCCTCGCCTGCTGAAGGGAGAAATTAAAAAAAGTTTGTTTGAATAGGATGAAAGATAAAGGAGTAGTAGGCAAGTGGCATCCCCAAAATG